CCGAAGCGGCTCGTGCAATTTCAGCTTTTTGACAAACTCACTCGTGCAAATTAATTCCAAATTGAACTCGAAACCGTATGATTACCTATACTAATTAGAAGTCTGGATAATGGATTTGGAGTAATTAATTACGCATGCAGTAAAAAGTCATTATTTACTGGACATGAATCCTTTCTGTTCTTTGCATCACTTTTTGGTTTGGGCTGAAAAAACCACCAAAAATACTGCAAAGAGGGCGGCTTTAAAGTTACCAGATGGCCAAAAATCGACCAGAGTTAATGTATCTTTGCATGAGTACAAACCGAAATTTGCATGTTGAATATTGCTTGCCTTAATTTTCACACCACGCCGTAAATGCGAATATCGGGCACTGTTCACTTGATTTAAACCTTCTAATACCTCCTAATCTACACAAGGTATAATTTTAAGATTCTTTTTCAAGATTGTGTTCACTCGCGCTAGTTGAAAAATTCCGTCTGGCTCCTACGACTTGGTACGGTTCTTGGCACAATTAATCCCAAAGCCCTATAGACCCTTTTCATAAATGGTTCCGATTATAAATTCTTTTGTAAGTATTAAAATTAGCCTGACTAACCTCGTGTTTTTGAGTTGATAGTTCAAAAGAATTTTTACTCCCAAAGGAGTTTAGTAAGGCTAATTTAAATACATACAAAAGAATTTTAACTTGGCAGCCATTTATGAAAAGGGTTTATGTTATTATTAACAATGCCTTTAGAAAACCTGGAGTGATAAACATTTATTGACGTAAACTTCAGTTCACAAGTGTCGCTCTAGATTTTTGTATTGACGAGTTCCGTGTTGTTCAATTCCAGACTGAGTTAAAAAAGATGGACTGAACAGCGCTACTTTCATCAGTTAAAAAATGTAAAATAACTTGGGGAGTGCACATTATTTATGGTTTGGGGGGGGGGAGGGGCAGGGAATCGATGAAATCATGAGGGGGGGAAGTTTCAGGTGTGAGAGAAGGGGGTTCATGAGAGTTTCAAGGGTGTTGCATGGGGGGGAGGGGTGTTAAAGCTTTCATAGTGTTAAAAAAGAAAATAATATTCCTTTAAGAACACTGATTAAGACCAACCAGTTGTGGTAAACCCCCCATAGAATTGGTTGTTTAGTCTATTATTGCATCACTATTTTCCTCTTAGGGTAACTTGATAATCAAGTCAAGCGGATTACTTTCCTTGGTGGGGATGCAATTATACAGTAACTGGGAGAGGTGCAATAAACACAATATCTATTTGTCTACTTACATGTGTGTAACAGGAGGTGGTGATGGCCCTGGGGGGAGGGGAGGGATTCATAAACATTTAGCTCATCAGTTTGGAGGGGCCATTAAGTTTGTTGTTGTTGTCGTCTTATGGGGGGTGGATGTCACACAACAATCTGAAGGGGAGCAGTATAAAACCCCAATCCCCAAAACCATAAATAATGCACACTCCCAAAAACTAATAATTACAGATTTAGCCAAGCCTAAAAGTGGAGCTCCTGATTGCAATGACAACCCACAAAGGAAAAAGAGGATTTGTTTTTCTTGGATCCGAGACTCGAAAAATGATCAATTATGAGCATGTAATTGTTCAGCATATGGTTTTGCTTTTTCTTCAGTTAAATTTTAACAAACTAACGGTATACCCAATAAGTGTAACCAAGATTGTAGAAATTATGTATGCAATATATCAGGGACTTTCCAAGAGACAATTGCACAAGAAATATGTCAGAAGAAAAGTTAACAACGTGCCAGGTGCTAATTTGTGCCAAAATTTTGCATTTGCATGTACTCCTTCTTTTTCCCCCAGAGTTATAACCTAACTTGAGCCTGGGATTCAATCAAAAAACCAGTACAGTCAACCTTGATGAGCTCTAAACCTGAGCCCAAGATAAGGTCATGTGATACTGGTCAGCAGATAGCTTGTTTTGACAGCTGTCAATTAGCCATAACATGGATGACAAAAATCAAAGATGTTCAGTAGCTATGGTAATAGTGCTACTCTGTTACTTTTCAAGGTACTGGCATACGAACAGTCATGTGACAAACCCAAACTTTTTAGATTGATGGGCTACTAAATTTTCTAAGGTATAGGGCTCCACTTGCGCACCTTTGACATGCAGGAGCTCTGCTAAAAATCAAGAAAAACAATTTTCATCATTTCAAGTGTAGCGTTTATTTTTCTATTTTTTATTTTATCAGTTTCCTCTGACAGTCAGAGCAATATGCCAAAATCCATTTACACCCTTTAGAGGAGAGAAGGGACTATGTACATCAGAAAGTAAATAAAAACGTTGACCTACTTTGACATCACCATACAGCTAACTACAACTACAATTTCTTAAAAGGGGAGTCCAGGCCCCCTGGACCTATCCTCCTAGACATACTAAAGCCCCTCCCCCCCCTCTAGGGCAAGCTCCCCACTGAGGCACCCCCCACTGATGTTATCACTCCCAAAGATCTTGACATGCAAATTTTTCACTAGTTTGGCCAAGTTCTACTTGTAACGCTAATTCAAGAAAGAAGATGGTGACTAGGCATGAAGCAGAACATATGGGCTGTTCTTACATTATTTCAACAAAGGATTTCATTGCTACTTTTCTTTCTTTGCCCTTCCCAAAAGATAAAACTCATCATTTGGACGCATGTTGGTTAGATGAGCCATTCTGTTAGACAATGCAAAGAGCCCTGCAATGGCGCCAATGTCCCATGCATCTTCTCTATTCAAGCCATGCTTTTCCAAAGCTGTTAAATGTTCATCATCCACTGTTTCTGATCTCGAAACACACATTGCCAACTGAAGTATGGCTCTTTCTCTTTCAGTCAAGTCGGCACATTGCCAATTGGCTGCCACCTAAAAACCCAGTGATTTATTAATAAATCATTCATTAAGCTATTTACTTCAGACACTCAAAAAGTATGACACACCTAATTTTGACCCAACATAATAGTCCTCAGCAATTTTCTTACAGTCATTTTTCCAATCAACCGCCATCTAATAGCTTACTCTATCATTAAAAGGATAAAGTAAAGTTCAGAACCTAGGGGTTCATTAAGAGATTTACATTTAATAGTGCTTAGCTCCATATTTTTCAGCAGAATGAAGTGGTTTGGAGTGTTACTAGGGGAACAATAGCTGAGAGCAGTATTTGTCAGGTTGGCCCAGCATTTCACTGATAACAATAATAGGCACTTTGCATATTAAGTTTGTCACATGACCTTGTCAATCATAAAAAAGTTGCAGAATTTAATGGATACCAGAAATGGAAAGAGTGTGATGAAATTAGTCAGCCTGCAATTTTTTTTGTCTACATTTTAAATCTTTATGACAGTTTGAAAGTTTTAAAAAATTATTTACATTGCTTTGCCATCCAGTACAAAATCCTTTAATTTTTCCAGCTTCCCAACTTCAGTGAAATCAGGTACTTATAAATCGTCATTTTTGTTGAATTGGGCTGATGCCTCTCTGCTTCCAGGCTATCCTATCCTCTGCAGCTGATGCCGCCACCACCCAAGATTTTAATCCTTTCTCCTTAAGCTCCCTTTCCACTGTTCTCCTCTATGTCTGTTATGGTCGACCCCAAAAACATCTGTAGTCTCAAAATTGGAAGTCTTACAACTTATTTCATCATGCTTTTTCTATTTCTAGCATCCATTGTATACCACAATCATTGGCAACATGAAGTGACAGGGTTATGCAAAGGGTGTTCAGCTGAGAGACACTGTGAGAGAAAAGTGTCTTGCCCAAAATCACAGTTCATGGTGACATAGATCAGTTTTTGAATCTACAATATAGACACCTCAGTCTGGACTGGCACCATTAAGTGACAGTGCCATGCATAATTGGGCTGTTTAAAGTGTAAAGTGTACGTCTGTCAGGGCCATAGTTAGTAACAAGAGATCCAATGTACTTACCTTAGGTAAAAAAAACATTAAGTTATTATTTTCTTTATTTTAGTACCCTGTAAGAGGCTATGCATTAATAATAGGCAGAACTAAGAAAATTTTTTTTTTTTCAGATGCCTCAGAAAGAATTTTGGTCAATAATCATCAGCATATTAAGTTATTTTTATCATATCTTAATCAAATTCTCATTCAGTTCAAATTACAATGTAGTTCTTTACATGACTGTGTATTTAAATTAGTGTAATTAAAGAACAACAGTGATGCAAGTATCCAATAACATACAGTTCAAGTGTGGAGTCATATTCAAGGATGTAATTAATTTTGTGACTGGATCTCTGTTTTTGGACACGTAGACAATTCCAGAGTCTTGTATTGTTTCTCCACTGTTTGTAAAACTGTCATATTTGCATACTTTCCTGTCTTGAATTCATTTAGACCCCTACTGAGAAGACACAAACAATATCAACTTAACATGACTTGGTTAAGGAAAAACTTTACCTGGTCACCCAACAGTGGATTTTTAGAGTAGATCCTTAACAAGGCACCATGAGCCACAATACAGTACATGCAGTTGTTTGCTGAACTTGTTGCAACTACGATCATTTCTTTTTCAGCTTTTGTTAGATTTCCCTCTCTAAGCATCAGTGCATCATAATACATGAAAAAAGCACGGAATTCATCAGGCCGATGAGCTAGAACTTTGAAGACATTTGGTAAGAAGCCACTCTAGGAAGCAAGAAAATGCAGTGTTGCTGCAATGTAACCCTGTACAAGTTGACTAACACTTGATTTATAGTCAGAAAAATATTCTTTCTGGTTTAATGTTGTCTAAATGAAATTTTAAACATAAATTTCACTAATGTGACATAACTTATTAAGATGTACCTTATCCAAGTGAAAGGGACGCACCAGGAGAATATTGTCCTGAGGTGTCTAGCAAGCCAAATTTTACAGACAAATGTATGGAAAATTA